CCGATCACACGATCGACGGTGAGTGGAGGTAGCTATTCGCGACACATGCAAACCCTAGTGACGGCGCCGAAGCGATCAATTGCATGAGTGTGCTGCACCCCCTCTTTACATAGGCATCCGTCGTGGTCTCAACAGTTGGGCCTCACACAGATCCTAAAGCCCAAAGTTTGTTTGGCCTAAATCCGAATCCGAGTAGGATCACTTCTGACTCGTGGAGTCGGACTGGGCCTCATAGGTTCCTTCACTTAAGTGTGCGACCCCTTAGGTTCTCATTCACTTGGTCGCGAGTCAGATCACATCCGACTCAGCTAGTCGGTAGCGGCCTCTAGCAAAGTGTGCCGACTCCAAGTGTCCGATGAAGTTGGTTAGGCAAACCCGTACATCACACTTCTATTCAAGTCATCATACAATGCATAGTCCCACAAACAAGTCACGTACTTGTTGATACACATCTTTGATAATGTCCAAGGACTATCTTTATTCATAAACACATAGGAAATATCATCATACATGATTGTCTCTAGGGCATATCTCCAACAGGACTGAACAATGACGAACTTGTGTTGTTACCTTCTTGAAGGTTTTGTGTGATGTTTTGGTATTAATTGGTTGGACTCGGCATCCGGGATGAAAGTCCTTGTTTTGGCCATCTCGGGCTGGACAGGCTGTGTCTCCCCTTCTTGAAGGCACTTTTACATATAGGAAGAAGGAAAGTGTAGTAAATGATTTTGCATATCTTGTCATGGTTGTTTTATTATTGTCCTTTTAATGTACTCAACTTTAAGAAAGAACATCCAAGACTCATCAACAGTTGATGCTTTGGCTCAAACACTTCGACTCCATGTTGTGACAATACAAGCAAGTACGACCGGCGACTGACGTGCTTGAGTTGTGGTCACCATTGTTGTGGTGTATGTCTCCTCTGCGTGTGTGTGTGTGTGTGGCTTATGAGCTATGAATTCATGTGAGGGTTTGTACTATGTCATTTGGATACCTTATAGTTGTACCGTTTATGTTTGTTTCGTTGTGTTGTGAACCTTTGAGGCCCCGGTTCCCTAAATCTATGCAATGGCCTTCTTTTTTATGTGTCTCTATTCACAACCAAACTCTATTGATGATTTTTTTTTGCACAAATTCTTGAACAAGGATGACATGCCATGGGTCAATAGTTTTTGGGAAACCTACTACTCCACTACTATGCATGATGATAAACATGTGGGATCCTTTTGGTGAAAAGTTGTTCTCAAATTAGTCCCCACATGCAAGCAACATACTCTGATTACTATTGGTGATGGTAGTACTATCCTTTTTTGGTCAGATAAATGGAATGGGCTTTGCTTATAGTCTTTCTATCCAAAACTTTATTCCTACTGTATCAATTTTGATGTGTATCTTTAGTATGTTACAGGTTTGGAGGATTTGGAGGGTCTGTTTCATAGACCTTTATCCACCCAGGCCCACCAACAATTTTTGGCTCTCACTACAGAGATGGCTATGCTAGAGGTGCATGCAGGGAAAGATGTATGGATGCAAACATTGCAACACTCAATTTACTCCTCCATGAAAAGGTATAAAGCATCAAAGGCCCTTGCTAGATTCATTGCTTATTCAATCGTCTTTGGAAATGTGTATATCAACTTAGACACAAATTCTTGTTCTGGTTACTTCTCCATGATAGAGTCAATACCAGGAATATGTTGAATAGAAGATCTATGCACATAGATGACTATAATTGTGTTCTCCGTGATGATAAGAATGAAGAAACTCTCATGCATTTGTTCTGGGACTACACTTTTGCTAGAGAATGTTGGAACTTCTTGCTTAAGAGGAAGCGAGGAATTTCCTGCTACGATGAAATGTGTAACTCCCTCCAAGCTCTGCCAAGAGATTTTGCCATGGAGGTGAAAGACATTCAGGGTGCCTTAGGCCCGACCGCCTTGGTTCAGTGCGTGGAGCTTTGGCATTGCGTGTGCCACATTACACTCTCCGACTCACTAGATCGCTTGCGGTGGCACTGGACCGCGTCAGCTACATACTCCGCAAGCTCGTGCTACCAGACACTATTCTTGGGTGCCTACGAAGACCCACACTGGCGGCTCACCTGGAAGCATTGGGCGCTGCTACACATCAAATTCTTCATCTAGCTCGCGCTGCTAGATCATTGTTGGACAGCTGAGCGCCTCGCTCGTCATGGCCTACCGCACGTGGACTCTTGCGCCTTCTGTGATCAACATGAGGAAACTATGCAACATCTTCTGGCGGGTTGCTCTTTCTCCCGCCAAGTTTGGCATGAGATACTCGGCTGGGTTCGGTCAACCGTCGAGCTACCGAGCACCGACGCCAACTTCTATACCCGGTGGGCCGCATCCTGCGACCGATCACCATCCCCGGTACGTAAAGGATTGGCCTCCCTGATCATCCTCACTGATTGGTGCCTCTGGAAGCACCAGAATGCTTGCATCTTCGACGGCGAGCAGCCCTCTATCTCCCGCCTATCTGACAACATCAAAGATGAAGCGCCCCTGTGGGCTAGGGCCAGTGCCATCAGAGTCCAAAACATCATCCTAGAGGGCTAATCTTAGAGGTTTCTCCGAGCTCACTTCCATGCCTCTCTATGTACATGGCTTAGTGAGTTGTTGTAATCCCATGTTGTGCCACTCTCCTTCTATCAACGAAAAGATACGAAACCTTTACATATTTGCGAAATAAAAAATATTTTGCCATAGATATTATTATCGTGAGTTGTTGGGGGAGTTGGTCAGTCAGAAATGATAAGATCTTCATGAAGGCAGCTCCTCACACTCTGAATTGGAAGTACTATCTCAAAGAGGGACTCACTGCTGCTTCTTACAGAGCAAAACCAGCAAAGTCTCAGAAGATTTAGGCCTGGATAGATAATAATCTGTAATTATTTGTTAATGTTTCTTGGAGAGGGCATTGGTTGAGTTTCTACCTTTTTTTCTCTTTTTCTTTCTTTAGGCCAACTCCAACACACGTCCCCAAATCGTCCGTGGGTGTCCGTTTGGGGTTAAACGGACAGACTGAGGGTCCCAACGCGCAGGAGCATCCCCATTTTTTGTTTGGCCCGTGTCTGTTCTGCTCCATTCCCAGTCTGAAGTTGGTCTGGCTTTGGCCCCAAAGCAGACAAAAAACGGATGTTGCGCATCCGGCTGCGTCTGTCCATCTGTCATCGAAACGGCCGGGATGGCCGTGGTGTTGCAGCCTGGTGGTGGCCCATCTGTCATCGAAACAAAGGGACCCCACCCATCGCGCTCTCTCTCTCTCCACCTTTTCACCCACCACCCCACCCCACCCCGTCGCCCAGACCCGGAGTAGCAGCACCGGTCCTCCATGCTATAGCTGGCCAAATGGGCCGGTTTTTTCGGGCCGGACCGTGAGCACGCCGGCACGGCCCGCCTTGGGCCAGGCACGGCACGGGCTAAACGGGCCGGGCCCGGCATGCGGCACGCCCTGGGCCGTGCCTGGGCCTGGAGGCTGGGCACGCGGGCCAGCACGGCACGGCGCGATTAAGTTTTTTTATTTTTTTTATACATCTATATATGGCCTAACATGTAAAAATAGGCTAAAAACGCTCAGTGTGTCAAATAATAGACTGAAAATATGCGGCCCACCATGCTAAACGGCCAACGTGCCGGCCCGTTTACTAACTGGGTCGTGCCTGGGCCTGAGGGCGTAGCACGTGGGCCGGCGCGGCACGACCCGTATAGTAATCGTGCCCTGGCGGGCCGTGCCGGGCCAGGCACGATTTCGATGGGCCGGGCCGTGCCGGGCCGGGCCGGCCCGTTTGGCCAGGTATGCTCCATGCCGGGGTCACCTCCAGGCGCAGGAGCTCGAAGGCCAGCGCTAAGCTGCAGCACCGCGGC